CAGACCGCCCTGGCGAGGAGGTCTTCTCTTCCCCACCTTCCCCCCGCTCCCCTCCCTGAACGACCCTCCCCCCCTGAGTGCGTGATTGCTGGTCCCCCGCGGCGCCTGGAGAGACCGTTGCCTGGGAAGAGGAAGGGCGGGGAGGCGGGAGAGGGCGGTCGCCCTTCGCCCGGGTCGTCTGGCGGTCGTCGATCAGCGGGACCACACGCACCGGGTCTGACAGGTCAACTGAGAGAGAGGGGGAGGAGACGGAGAGGGAAAAGGGAGGGAGAAGGCAAGGAGAGGGGGGGAGGAAGAAGGAAAGGGAGGAGGGAGAGGAAAGGGGGAAAGAAGAGAAGGGAGAGGGAGAGGGAGAAGAGAAAAGAAGAAGAAGAAAAATAGGAAAGAGAGAGAGAGAGGAGAGAGAGAGAGATGAGAGAGAAGAGAGAGAAAAGAAGAGAGAGAGCAAGAGAGAGAGAGAGGAGAAGAGAGAGAGACAGACAGACAGACAGACAGACAAAGAAAGAGGGGAGGAGAAGAGGGATGTGTGAATTGTTTTCATTTCCTTTAGCCCTATACACACTAAATGAATGAAATGAACTATAATGATATCCTAGACTGATTCTGTTGCGAGACTATCGAGATGCCGTCGCACTACCGCGGCACTCCATTTTGCAAATTCGTACTCATATTTAAAGAACAACTTCCAAAGAGTTATTATTAAATAAAAGTTGAACCTCGCGAATGGGCTATTTAACGATATGTGAAGGTACTCCTCGAACTCACCATATCGGAAGACACGGGGGAATCGTACCGCACAGACGCCCAGTAATTAGTGTGGTCGAAGACAGCGTGCACCTGGCGATAAGGAGGGTTTTGGGCGGGGCTTAAAGGTATCACCTGCCCATTGGTTGGCTCGACCACAGTGGGCGTGGTCACGTCGCGATTCGGAGGAAGGACCAGGACCCAGAAGTGGAGGTGAGAGGCGGCGTCTGCAGGGGATGCGCCCCCCTCAGCCTGCCAAAGAAGAGGGAACTCAGGAAAAGGAAAAAGAAAAAAAAAAAAACTAGAAAAAAAGAATGATGAAAAATAAAGAAATACATAAAAAATTACCTCATAAAAAACTAACAAAATGAATGATGAAAAAAAAAATACCCCACTTCTAAAAACTACAACTCGAATAGTCGAAATACACGAAGAAATACCTAAAAAAAAAAATACCGCACTTCTAAAAACTACAACTCGAAAACTCAGAAATACACGAAGAAATACCTAAAAAAAAATACCCCACTTCTAAAAACTAGAACTCGAAAAATCAGAAATACAATACACAAAAAAACATAAAGAAAAACCCACTTCCAAAAACAACCCCAAAAAGTCCACAAACAACACGCAGGCCGCTTTCCAACTGACCTCCTCCACTTGCACCTCCTCCTTGGCCGCCTCCTCCTCCGCCAGGCGTCTCCTCCTTTCCCTTTCCTCCATGATGGCCACGTAGCGACTCCGGAGATCTGGAGGGGGACGCACCGTGTACTTGGAGGCCCGCGTGTCCTCCTCGGCCTCCAAGCTCTGAGGGAGGAGTGACCGAATGAGGAATGGGAGAGGGTGAGTGGAAGAGAGAACTGGGAGATAATGAGAGGGGGAGAGAGAAGTGGAGATAATGAGAGGAAGAGAGAGCAATGGATAATGAGAGGACGAGATTGAAAGTGCGATTCGAATAATGAGAGGGGCAGAG